ACGATCTGATAATTTGTCATGGGCGCAGCGGAAATTTTAATCATCAATCATCACGTTACACCTGCTTTGCTAATTGACCCATCCCCTGTTGTCGACGACTCAGCTATTTGCTTGTAAAACGCTCCTCATTTCTAAGTGTACGGGGTTGAATTCCGCACAGAGTGGCCACCCGTCAGAGCCCTGCTGCGCAGTGGGTAGCGGCGGGTTCCCGCTTGGGTGGGAGCTCATCAGTCTGACATCTTTACAGGCGGTCCGGCCCTCTCAGTCCGGGGTGGCCACGGTATTCGTCCCTCAATTACCTGACCGTCTGCCGCGCATGCGCAATGCCCTCGGCGCCCACCGCCCGCGCAGGAATGTCAGGGGGGAGAAAAAAGGAGAAAAAGACATCTGACTGATTGGTGTCGAGTTTATCGCGGCCAATTAGTGGCGCGGCGGCGTCACTCCCGGCGCGGTGGCGCCATTCGCGGCGCCATGGCTGCGTCATTTACCGGCGGGGCGAGAGATAAACCAAGAGCGGGTTAGGGATTCAGCTCATAACGGCTGACGACTAGTGACTTACGTCTAACGACAGCGGCTAACGACTAACGATTAACGACAGCGACTAACGACTAACCACTAACGATTCACGACAGGCGCCTTGAAAAGTCCGCCTTCATCCGGCCGGCACTTCGAAAAGATGAGGCGTGGGCTGGCCACTTGATTAACCCGCGCGGGGCTGGGGGGTAAATTTTACCCCCCCTCGCGAATTTTTGCGATATCTCAAAAACGGCGGCGCGCAGCGCCGCCAAACTTTCAGTACCTTTTCTTACATCAATTTGACACGTTCCCTGAAAATTTGAGCGAAATCCGTCGGGAAATTTTTGAGAAATTGACGTTTTAGTGACGTCATGTTCGCCATTTTCGCCTCAAAAACGGCAAAAGTTCAAACGCCGCTAACATCTTCATTTGTAAAGGAATCAAGACGTAACAAAAAAGGTTATACGTAATTTTACTTTGTCTATCAAATGGCTATCTCGGTTTTTTGAAAATTTTGGATTTTGGCCTAAATTTTTTCAAAAAACTGATTTTTTTGGGAAAATCATTATAAAATCCAAAATTTTGAGTCTATCGAAAAAACCGGAATATATGTCAGAGAAGTGGTCTATGTGCACCTACATACCAAATTTTAGAAGAATCGGTTCAGAAATGTGGGAGTTATTCAAAATTTTATGACGTCACGACACACAAATTTTTTGAAAAATGACTTTTTTGGAAGTTCTAGACCTCGTACGGAAACAAAAATAGCACCATTCGATTCGCCGTGAAAAACTGCATCAGATAGACACCTTTCTAGGCCTTAACAACCAACTTCAAAATTTGACCTCACTTGACCTGACCTTGACCTGACCTCGACCTGAAATTCATCCAGAGGTGGTCCATATCACTTATTGAGTGTGCCTATTGAATTCTATGAGTAAAATGACCCATAAAACATGTGTCGCACATGCCCTTTTCTATATTTTGTTTTTTGGTGACCTGACCTGACCTGACCTGACCTTGACCTTGACCTCTGAATGATATTGTATGCAACGAATATTGTCTTGGTAGCCTAAGAACACGTTTTGGGCGAACAGTCTCAGTCCATGACTCCATTCTTCGGCAACTACGGTGCAAGGCCGATACTGTAGAAACTTGCAATTTGTACCCTTGACCTGACCTTGACCTTGACCTCAAACTTTAAATTAAGTACATGTTTTTAGTAGTTCGTGATGAGAGCTTTCGATTGGCGTTTGAATTTTCCAAATCGGACCATTAGTTCGGGAGATAACAGGGGGGGTAAAATTTACCCCCCCAGCCCCGCGCGTTCGGCTGGAGACCCCAGCCCCGCGCGGGTTAAAAGCGTCGCTCATTTGCATGGTAGCTCCCCAGCAGCGGTCTGTAGGTAACGGAGCGGAAACCGCACTCGATGACGCGGCTGATCAGCTGATTAGACACCGGCTGGGCCGCACAGGTAGCCCGTTACGGAGCCTGTTAACCAAATGGGGTAATGAGCCACACGTGATCGCCTGGTACCGAGTAATGGGCCCGTGTGCGTGCAGGGGGCGGGCCTGCGCGTGATTGCAGACACGGAGGTGCGTGTTACGCCGCTGTTCCGCCCCTGCACGGTATACGAGCGGTCGGCTGGGACGGGTCCGGAGCGCCTCTCGGGTGCAGAGCTGGATAAAACAGGTGTATGTAGTTCAGTGAGCTGGCACAGGGCGCATTACTGCAATCTCTGAGGAGGTCTCAATCAGTTCAATCAAAATCTCCACTACATCACAGACAGTCTCGAACGCTGCAGACCCCTCAAAGCTTCTTTCCGGCAGCGTTCAAAGGGCTCCCTCGTCATCCGTCAGTCTCGCGTGGCTGACGGGACCGACAGGCGGCCAGAGGCCGGTCGGGCGGCTCTGGCTCCTCAGAGGGGGTCGTCTCCTGCGACGGACAGACGTCGGGCCCGGGGCGCACCTGCAGCCGTCGTCCGCGCTCTGCCGGAAGCCTGTCCGTGCTCAGGGGGGTACATTCCTGCCGACCCGCCGCGCCGCGTGCATCGATGACCGGCACAGGCGGCATGCAACGCGCTCGGTTCGACGAAGCGAGCTTTCACCGAGCGGCACCGACAAACAACGTGGCCGGGTGGCAACAATCAGACGGAGGACGCCTCTGTGAGGGACCAGAGGCCCGCGAGAGCATTTCCTCTTGCTTCTTACATGCAGCGACTTCAAGCCGAACCCATAGCAAACGTTTTCAAGATTTGCCAATGCACGAGCAACTTATATTTACAGGCTTCCGAATAATCCAGTACCCAATCGGCAATCGTAGAAATTCTACAATGAAGCACCTAACCGCAGATTCAAAGTGGCCAGTTCCTTCAATGGGTTATACCTAACTACTACACCTTCCCTTGACGCTGGAATTCTACCGAAGCCAGCCTGCCCGGCTCACAAGCTGGAGCTGCCCGGTACCCCGCTGTTTCAGTCGGGTTGTAGGGGAGAAGCGCCTCCCCCGCTGGGCGGACAGGGCCCCAATGGAGTTATTACATACGACGGTCCACCGGCTAGGGTCGGAGGTCGCCACAAACAGGGGTATCACAGCGGGGACCACAGCCAGGCGCGGCGAGGGCGCGGCGGGGAACAGGGCTATGATGAAGCTGCTTTGATGCTGTTGCTAGCTGGTGGGTCTGAGAACATAGTAAGCATCGCGACAGACATCCGGAGTTGAGGCGTAAATATGAAAGAGTACAAAGCTTTGAGACGTGTTTTCAAGTACACCGAAAGACTGCGCCAGGATAGGTATGCACTTTGAGAATAGGACGAGAATTAGCGCATCGAGAATTGATAAGGTAACTACCGTGGTGATCAAACGGGCCTCTTCTTATGATAATCTGGAACGTTATCCTCAAGAAGGCGATCGAATATGTGTCTAAGACTTCAGCCATTAGCTGTAGAGAGTTTTAGAGAGAGCATTAGAGACTTTCATCATCCGCCCCCGCCCAGTCCCGGTATTCCAAACAAGTCGAAGCGTGCCAGCAGTCCCACAAAGACTCGCGGACAAGGCGCGGACCGGTCGACGACGTCCTCGCCCCGCTCACAAACCCAGCAAGCCGTCGACCTTCTGAATCAGGCGAACACAACACACTGTTGGAGCCTGAATGGAAGCGGATTGATGCGGTCGTTTTAGTGGAGAGCGTCCCATTCGCGCTGAGTGCTGTCTGCCCGAAGATCGTCCCACTCGGGATACGTGGATCAGTTTATCAATGAACGGATTTATTGGTGGTTTAGGTAAAAAGGAGGTGATCCGAATCTGCCCAATGCGTCTTCGCTAGAATGTCGTCGCCATTAATTCAACCCCAGGCTTTCTTTTATAATGGCCTGCTGATGTGTGTTGCATCAACAGCGAATGTTGTTCGGTTTACCAAGCATTGGACTACATCGGTCCATTAATCATTTTCACTGTCCTGTGCTGACACATTTGCCTCAGGATCGATGTCTACCCAGGTGTCGGACCCGACACTTCATTGACGCCTGGCGTTCAATGGAAGGATCCCCTCCGCTCTCCGCCCACCTCATGTGCCCGTGGGCGTCCCAGGGAAGCCGCCAGCCCACACCGTATCGATTTGGGATAAGGCCGACCTGGTCAGAGTGCTCTCCAAACACAGCCGAGCCGGTCACGTGACGGTAAGGTCAGGGGCGCGGGTCAGCGGACGGTGAATGGCCGTCGTCTCCGCCGTTTGCGCCCGCTGGCCGCCGGCCACAATAGCGCGATCGGCAGCGACGGGCCGCCGCGCGCCGGTGGCCCATTGTGACCAGCGGCCGTCGGTACCGTCGTGGGCTGAGTCGCCCAACTCAATTGGACCTGCCAACTGCGGCCCGGCGCCGACGGAACAATGGACGTCGAGTGCGCCCCTCAGAGACGATGGTGGCACGAATGGCGCGCGCCGGCCGCGCCGGCAGCTGAGTGGTGCAGACAATGTACCGTACTGGGCAATAGACAGAGTTGGAACGGGAGACAGCCCGCTCTGCCTGCCATATCCACAGGCCGTCTCGTTTCACGATCCATCCCGTATTCATGACGTTTTAGTGAAACGGTTCGGTAGATGTCCGTGGATCGGGATATTCAGATTCACAGATTGAGTGAGAACGAAAAGAAGAGGTGAGCATGGTTAAAAGAAGAATAATTGCCGAATTAATCTTCAGCGAACATAACAATTTTTACTGTTGTTTGCTCACCAATATTTTCGCGTTGCAATCTCTCTCAGGATTTCTTAGCTAGTCAAACGATTGGATGTCGTCAAGCACAATGTGTTTCATTTCGGTAGAAATTCATCCTTTCTGAGTTCAGTTTACCCGTGCTCTTACGCAGCATCATTATTACCAGCACCAATGCAGAGTCCATATGAATTTGTGTGCCTAGCTGACGATTTGCCAATTCAGTACAACATGCACTCGGGGAAAGAGGGCGGTCGTGGCGACCTGCCCACTCACCTCTCTATCGACCTCCTCCCGGTAGGTGAAGACGAGTGACATCGCCTCCGAGATATTGACATAGAGCTTCAGCAGGTAGGTCTCCACGTTGTTGCCGGCCTGCAGGGACGTGGCCAGCTTGCGCAACACCTCCACGTACGTCTGCCACGACTCGTTGAGTGTGGAGAGCGGCGCCATGCAGCCGCGCATCACGTTAAAGCAGAACTCATTGCACGGCCGCACCTGGCTGTGGCCTCGGCAGAGCTGGCAGTAGCTGAGCCTCGTCAGCGCCTGGTAGCACGACTCCGTGCACTGGAAGTGGGTGGTGGTGTTGAGCACCGCCAGACCGCCGTACAGCGACTGCAGGTAGAATTTCGCCAGCCCGAAGGTGCGCAGGAGCTTCTCCTTCATCCGGAACGGCACGTCGCGGAAGGGTCGGATGTCCAGCCGCTTCTCCCGCAGGCAGCTCGCGAAGGTGGCGTTCAGTTGCGCGCCGCGTCCGTACGTCACCACGAACAGTTCGTCGAAGAACTCTGTGACGGCCGTCTCCAGCTCCGGATCGGACAGCTCGCTCTGGAAGTAGCGCATGAACTGGCCGAACAGCGTGGGCAGCGCGTGCTTCGCCACGTTGTCACTGGTCTGGTTTTGACTGTCCTCGTCAGTCTCGTGGCTGTAGCTGTCGATAGTTGACTGGTTGGCGTTATGGATCAGTCGCAAGATGGCATCTGAAAAAAAAAGAGAGAAAAAAAACGTCAAAGTGGGAAAATGTTAAAATCCCTCAGTAAACGGAGATGCACGAGTTTCAATACCTGCACACCGAGGTGACCACAACCGCAGGGAAGGTTGTGCGTGTCGTCTATTCAAAACAACTAGACAACGGCCAAAAGGTCAAACAGCTAAGCCTGGCTAGATTTAGGCCAGACCAAGGTAGTTTTCAAACTCAGAAAGAATCTACCCATTCGCCAGATGTGCTGATTGGACATGGGATCAAAAGAGGGGAGCAAAGGAGGTCTGTTCAGTCACCGAACCCCACTATCTCTGTATTTGCAGTCCTCACCAATGTTTGTTCCTCCCCCTGCAGAGGGAGCCCAGCCTCCCAATTAACAAGCATGGCATCACCACAGACAAATATGCCTAAATATTTGATCGGCCTGTATCTGATCTGTCTAATAGGATCGTGTCTCGGAAGGGGTGACCACGTCAAGTTCGCAGACCAACTCTGTCTCGTAACGAGAGATGCCATGGAATCCCATGGTAGCTACTGGAAACCGTCCAGTCGCCAGAATATTTCCTGTCTGTCCACTGGAACTTTCCAGCCCGCTATCACTTTCCGACCATGTCATGAATCATTTCATTCATATTATCACGACTTAGATTATCAGCGCCTCAACTCCCCAAATGGCCAGAGGTTAGGCTTTTTATAGTCTCTTTAGAATGACATCGCGCTCATATTCCACCTCGCCTGTTTTCATATGTCGGCTCTTCACAAATAACTATGCATATTGCATAGCGACAGCGAAAGGAGCAGTGGCGGCGACCGGTAACAGCAGCTGGCCCGACGACTCCCGTCTCCGTGTGTCGTGGATGTGCGCCTCTCTGGGTGTCTCCGAGTGAAGACACTCCCGTGGGAGTTCCTCGGCCCGCCGAACGGCTCCAGCCATCGACCCACTCCGCACCGGACCCTCCGCACTACCGCAACTCCCCCAATTCACAGACCACCGTTCGCACCGGCCACCAAAATAGCGCAAACAAGGCCAAGTTACCTCCGAAAACCCCGCAGACTCGCTACAGAAAAACGTACCACTTGAGGAAGACATCAGACGCGTGCGAAGGACGCATCTCGGCCGCCGGGGAACGAAAGTGAAAACAAATACGCCGTCGTGTGGAGCAGCTGCCGCCTGAATCGTTCGCCTGAGAGCTCCTCACTCACGGCTCACTGAAGTTCGATCGCTGTCATCAATCTGACATCAATGTAGCCCGGAGGGAGCAGGCCGCTCCAGCGATGGCACGTCGCTGAATGCCTCGGCTGCGGGCGGTGGAGGACGCAGCGGCTGGCCGCGGAGCGCAGTCCACCGGGGCCGGGGTCGTGCATTTTGTTTACAGAATGACGAGGGCCGGCTGGAGAGGCGGAGAGCGGGGCGGGGAAGACACACTCCCGACCACCACACCACCTAATGAGATCACTAATTAAGGTTGGCAGACGTCCTCAGCAGAACCAACGGACGAAGAGCGAACGGATCAGCAATCAACCTCATGGATTTACTTTGAACGTAGTTTCTAGATTAGTCCTTTTTACATCACGAATGCTGTTGCCTAATGTAAATGGATTCAAAGAAATGGGCGAGCCACGGCCAATGTCTGCAAGAGCCCAGATGCGCCCATTCGTTCCACAAGGCGTTCGAGTGAAATGCTTTTGTTTTCCTGGGAATTCAACTTGAAAGTGGCCGCTATTGAATGTCTCGGGTAATCAGGCAAAGTGCACAACCGACGGCAAGGGCGTCGAATCTTTGTTCAAGACAAACATGCACGCCCTACACTTTTTTGGGGCTTGGAAGCTCGGAAGTCATAACCTTTTGAATGAATAGCGCAATAACTGTCAGCGATGTTCTTACAAGATGGCGTTCCTTTCACGCTCCATTCAGTCTACGACTATTCGGCACTTAAACTTAGCACCAGCTTAAACCGGCAAGAGTTCGTTCAAGTCATAAGGTGTGTTCCTGTGAAGTATCTGGTAGGTTCACCACACTGACCGACAAACAGCCCCCGAACCACAGGAGGGGCACTGCCGACGTCTCGCCCGGCCGCTGGAGACCCAAGACCTCCCACCCGGGGGCCCTGAGGCCGCCCACAGCACCGACGAACAGATCCATTATCCGTCCCGCGTGGATCAGCAGCCCTGCATTATGTAAAACAATCAAATATATGGTCAGGCACGTAACCAATCGGCTGCCGCCCGTACCTGGAGGACGGACCGCCCAGAACACAGGGCTCGGCCGCCGGCACCGCCCACAAGAACACAGACATCGGCCGCCGAGGGGCCGCCAGAGGCCCAGTGTCCGGCCATGGGGACCACACCTGGAGAACCATCTGTCCCGACCGGCGAGCGGCCGCCCCGGGACGCACAGTTTATGGCACCCAGGGCGGATGTCGCTAATGAGATTCCAGCACATTACTCGGGCGAGTTTGTTTTGGAACTAATGAGAGCAATTGTGGCGTACAACGCACGAGCTGGTAGTCACGTTTGGTGGTTTCGCGCGGCCTCCGGGGTGGCCTGAGGGTGTCGGTGGTGCTCTGCATTCCACCCGTGACCGTTGACTCCTGGGCCGCCGGTCGGCTGCGCTCGTCTGAGGTTAATCACTCGGTGCAATTACGCCCGGCACAATGACGGGGCGGCTGAGGTGCACGCCGCTGCCAGCGGTGCTCGGCGCATGGCTCCTGGTGCACGCGCCGCGCTGGTGTGCTTAGCCCGCTGGGACATCTGAGACCTCCCATCAGCCCGCTCAGCCCATCGGGCCATCAGGGGCTTCTCATGTCGCTCCACTCAGCCCACTGGGCTATCAGGGACCCACCATCAGTCCGCTCAGCCCAGCTTCGCCCACGTCAGCGCACCTTTCCCCGGCTCCAACACGGGAGAGACCCGCCTCAGCATTGAGGGAGCCATTACTAAAGTAATTTTGGCCAGACCCGTCGCCCCTACCCGTGTCAGCGGTCAGAAAATGAATGGAGCGGACAAGTGGCAATGTGTTTAACTGTCAAATCGACAAGAATTATCAGTTTTTCTTTTTTGTTTTTGCTAGTCTAGCTAATTATGCTAACGAGAATGAGCACCTGATCAGTCATACACAGGAGTGGGAACACTGTGCTAATGTCATTGTGGAGTATTGATCCTCCCATCGTGGTAATGTTATAGTGGGCGTAACTAGAATAGCCGCCAAATTACGTATTCTGCAGCAACAACACGAGACATCATCCACAAAAAGCAGCTCACGTCATCACTCAAAGCAGCTGACATGGTGAAAAGGGACTCTATCGAGCCTTTCGGTGGCCCTAAATCAATACGACTCCGTCCAGGGTTCTCCAAATATAGGTGTACGGTTGACCTGACACCTTCGTGTCACCTGTCACAGTGTCACACTATGTCGTCACATCAGGCCACTGATCGTCACCGGACACCAGGTCAGTCACCGAGCAAGGTCACATGGGTCACCGGACGCTGTCGCCACTGTAGCGGCTCAGGTGACAGGTAAACTGCGCACATAACCCGAGGTGAGGTGAGCAACTGAGCACTGAGCAGTGAGTACCGGTGTGTCGCTAGTAATTCGAGATGTCAACCAGTAAGTTTCCAGTCACTACCTTGGTCATATCATGGCGCTTCTTAGCGTAAAATGGCACCATGCTCCACCATATTCGCTTGCTAAATGCAATTTATTTCGGTATATTTGCTCTCAATGAACAAATATACCGGAAAGTCAAGTCAAGTCGCAAGTGAGGAACTTCTCGGTTTGAAAAAAAAAAACTGCATTAGGGCACGTTCTGTAGCGCCAAATGTCATATGTCTGGTTCCGCCATGCGACAGTATGACCTCTGTCCTGCCCCGACCCGAGTGACCCCGATCGGCTGACCTCTGCACCACGAACTCAGTCACCCGGTGAGACATGAGCCGGCTCTTTGTCAGCGGTGTGGCGGACCGGCTCAGAGTCAGTACCGCGGCAGCCGCCCGACACCCACTGCAGTGAGTCAGGGTCGCCAGAGCCAGCCGCTGAGTCAAACCGCCGCGGCCGGACGTTCCCAGCGGCACATTACGACGCATTCCGACAGTTCGAAGTTGATACGGCCTCCGGAATGTCGCTATATGTCTTACCCACCGCCTCGTCCGCCCACGCAGGTGTCGTTTCTGTCAGGAGCTTCATCTCGCGCCGCTCCAGAATAATGTCTCTCTTGTCACGCGTTATGATCCATCACGATGGAATTGCCACTCCGCCGGCGGTTCGTCATGACGACGCGAGTCATTCATTGGCGGCTGAGCCCAAGTTTTACCGCCCGTGTCAAGAAGACGGCGAGCCGAGAAGTTGCCTCCTCCCTACCCGTTCATCGGCCAGCATACTAATGTTTCGTCGTCCGTCTGCACTCGGTGGTGTCGGTGAGACATTGGTGAGACAGTGGTGAGAGTCCGTGAGACAATGGTGAGACAGAGGTGACGGCAGGTGAGGCAGGGAGAGAGGGTGGGATAAAGACGAAACGACAGGTGTGTCCGCGCGAGCAGAACAGGAGTGCAGAGGCGTGGGTGCTAAAGGAGGCAGTGGGGCTGACCGCATAAGACCGCTAATGGCAGCTGACGATGCAGCAAATACGAGGAAAATCAATGGAAAAATCTATTTATAGAAGGGATACATACTGCAGTATGCTACCTACACCTGTCAAATCGCGAGGTCATAAGAAGCTATATGTGCTGGGGATATTTTACGAGCAAAAACAATGTTTCCATTTGCGTTCTCTTCTTCTCGTAATTGTTTTCCACTTCTATCTGTTTTTTTTTTCTTTCGTCAGCACCTGCACTTAAGCCAAATCTCCCGAACGGTTTTCCTGTTGCCGTTCCTTCGTCTATACCACCGCAGCAGCCGAAGCGGTCGTCCCGCTGGTCTCGGAAAGCCCCGAGCTGCACACGGGCTGCTCGCAGCACAACATGCATCATGCAAATTAAAGCCCGAACAAAAGACGCCGGAGC